TACGTATCCCAGACAAGCATGCATGTCTAAAAGACATGTTTAAGACGTCATCAAGTTGCCTCTTAGACATGTACATCTAAGAGAAGTTTTAAAGATATCTTTATGACGTTTGTTAGACACGTGTGTTGTCTGGGATCTTTCTCGAACGAATTCGAGACCCGAGCCCCTGAATACATCGGCCACGGGACCAATTAATCTCGCGCTTGCAGAACTTGGGAAATTCAGAGTTCCGAGTTATGAAGGATAAGATTTTAACGCTGCTACACACAGACGCGAGATTCGTCAAAGGATGCACTTCCCTGGGTATGCAGCGGTGTTTCGCTATAAAAGCCGATATCAACGAGCTGCTGGACGTCGCTCGGCAAATCTACTGCGAGTTAATCAGCGACATGAAAAGTAAATTGAGATAACACGTTCAAATTGTAATTCGAACGGCGGAAATCACGAAAAGTTACTTTGCACTTCTTTGGCTCTACCAAAAAAAAAACAGGTATGGTGGAGCAGTTAGCCGTGAAACACAAGCTGCCATTATCCTTGGAATATAACACGAACATGGGCTATCACATAAACGTTGCCACACCGCGGAATATGACAATCTCAGACTTGCCGGTCGAATTTATTCAGGTAACTCGCATCGCTGTTCGGCGCGGAATCTCAATTGCACGTATAACACTTTTCGCGATTGTACAGGCACGAAAGAACAGGAGATCCTTCACGATGACGACAACGGGGCTATTAACATTGAATAAACAATGTAAGAGCGCTTGCGAGGAGATTTACATGATGAGTAACACGTAAGTTCGAGATAATCTTTCGAGAGGCCCCGCATTTACATTAATGAGACAATAATTTGCAGATTGCTGACTAATTTGCTGGAGGATATCCGACAGCACGTCGGCTGCTTATTTCAATTGAGCGCAGACGTGGCGGAGTTGGACCTGGTCTTGTCGCTGGCGCAAATCAGTTCCAATCCGGAATACACGAGGCCGTCGTTCGGGACGAAATTGGAATTAATAAATTCCCTGCACCCCATTATGGAATTATTTAACAGAGATCTTCCCGTGGCTAACAACGTGGTGAGCATCGAACGTCGAGCATCTCTCGGAACAAATCTATTTTCTTATTTTATCATGAAACCCACAGAACGCCTCGGTCACGCATAATTTTCACCTGATAACCGGACCGAATATGAGCGGCAAGTCTACGTATTTGAAACAGATCGTTCTACTTCAAATTATGGCGCAGGTAACGTGAGGACGCATTTATCGATTTAGCTCTTAAACATTTCTAGCCTGGATCGTTACATATTAAATATTCATCGTTACGTAATTAGAGAGTAAAACTTTTATAAGAGAATCACGCCAGTCTCACAACCATCAGACGTGATACTCGGTCAGACGGAACTTTTGCTTCAATTCTAATCTAATCAATGTGCTCTTTGCATCTAGAAACATTCTGTTTTGTAGCCAATAAATACGTTTCAAAAATTTCTGCAAGTTGATAAATTGTACATTGTACAATTATACACACTGAGAAAAATATCCGATTAAATATAATCGGACAATCCAATTACGTAATAACAAATGGATATATATGATTAAATTATATATCCGATGAAAAATATGATCGGTTTTTCGATCAAGTTTCATCGGTAACTGCATTTCATCAGACAAATTTCATCGGATATATACATAATTTAATCAGAAAAGTTAGTCGGAAAAATTGGTTTATCCGATTAAAATATTTCTCAGTGCATTGTACAATCATACGTTGTCGGCAAAGTTTTTAAGCGTGTTGATTTGTTGATACAAAATAGAATGCTTCTAGACGTAAAGAGCACATTGTAGATTAGGCTTTAGCGTTTCGCAAAACTAGGTAACGACCCGACGTATCGGTATCTCGACCAACGTCCGTTACTCGCGTCTCATTGCAGATCGGTTCCTACGTGCCGGCGAAGAAGGCAACGTTTCGCGTTGCAGATCGCATACTTTGTAGAATTAGCTCCCGCGACGACGCCGAGCTCAATGCGTCCGCCTATGTCCTCGAGGTGAGCGTGCGGTAACTGTAATAATTATACCTCTTTTTTCCTCTTCATTTATATATATATATAAAATATACGTGTTGAGAGGCACAGTATTACGCTTTACACGAACACACACTTTTGCAACTCTTCTATTAAAAAGATAGCGCGCATACGCAAACAGCGACGTGATTATCTAACCAGGTACTGACCATACCCAACGTCGCTCGACTTTAGTCATCTAACTGGTGTTTTCAAGGCGAAACTGTTGACACCTAATTATAGCCCAGCGCCACGGCTAAGCGTAATTGTGGACTTATTTATTTCAGATGAAGGAGGCGCAATACATCCTGCAATCCGTCACGCCCAAGTCGCTCGTTGTACTGGACGAGCTCTGCAGACATACCACGGTGGAGGAGGGCTCCGCCATCGCTTGGGCGATATGCGAGAAATTATCGCTGACGACCGCGTTCGCGTTCGCGGCGACGCATTTTTTACACCTCACCGCGCTGAGCAACATGTATCACAACGTGACGACGTACGTGGACATCTCGCACAATTATGCGTGCATATGTATCGTTTGCCGCGACAACGATATAATTTCAAAAAATCCTCGCTTTCAAGTTTGCAAAAGAATGGTGAAAATTGGATACCTTTGTTCCTCTCTAATCAGTTATTACACAAAATCACACTTAAAATAATGCAGAATTTTAACGATGCGAAACAATCAAGCTCATTTTCGGGAAAATTCGTTTTCTGTGTCACACCATTATCTCGCACACACACGTACGTACAAATGAGCAAATGAGCGATATAGCTTTTTTCGCAACGATTACACGGTCTATTACGGATATTAGGGATCTATCAACGAATTTTCCACTAAACAGACTTCACTCCAAGGGCACTAAATTCACGGTGGAGGAACCAACAGACGATGCCAATTAATTTAGTAGAAAGTCCGCTATCTCCTATTAGGAGCCTTTTATCCACAACGATTACACAATCGCGCCTAGGAATCTTTTTTTCACGACGATCACACGATCTAACAATGAACTTTCCACTAAACAGGCTTCACTCCAAGGGCAATAAATTCACGGTGGAACCAGCAGACGATGCCAATTAATTCAGCGGAAACTCCGCTGTCTCATATTGGGAGCATATCTCGCAATAGGGAACTTTACTGTACATTGTATTTAATTTTGTCCGAAATAAAGATAAAATAAGGCATTCCTGTTATGGTTCTCCAGCCACTGCTTCGAGACGAAAACCGCGGAACCGGAAGACTCGGACGAGTTGCATCTGGTGTATACTCACAAGCTGAACCGCGGAACCGGACCTACGGATCACTACGGGATCGCTCTGGCGGAAGTGTCCTCTCTACCGAAGTGCGTGACGGCCAAAGCGCGAGAGTACGCGTCCCGGCAAGCCGTTAGCGCGCAAAACGTGAGTGTGTAAATAAGTATGCTTTACGAATGAAGTTACCGAACGTTATTAAACATCGCTCGAGTATTTTATGCTTGTAGAATAATCTCGGGTCAATCGCGAGTTCTCTGTCATGGGAGAAATCGTGTTACGACGCGGTCGTTCAGTTACGCGCGCTATTGGAGGATAACCGTTTCACTTTCGCAAATATAATAAGTGTCATGAAGCAATTGGATCTGAGCAAGCAAAGTGAGCAAACGGAAAGAGCGCCGGCCCCGGCGAAATCGCCGGCCCCGACGAAATCGCCGAACGTCGCGCAAGAACGTGCAGAACGGGAGGGCCGCGAGGAGGACGAGGATCTCGTTGCCGCGACGAGTAACACTTCGACGAACAACACGGTGTTGTTGACGGAACCGGCGGACAAGGTTGAACGAGAGGTGAGCGAGGAGCGGGTGCAAGACGGGCAGATGGAAATTGCCGAGGACGACAATCGGCAGGTTTTTCTCACGAACGTGTCGATTCACGAGGTCATAATAAATCGAATGGCGTTTTCATCGCCGGACACGGCCAGCGGGGACTCGGCGGCCGTTGATCCAAACCCATCGCCGGCCGTCGATCCGCGATTCTACGTTCGCACGTCGTTCGCGGCGAGCACCTCGATGACAATAACGCCGCCGCAGCGCGGGACGAATCCGGGATCGAGTTTCGCAGAAAGCGTGAAAACGGTCGGCGAGTCGGTCCAGTATCACGATTACTGTTTGTCCGAGGGAGAATTCGATCTCTCTCTGTCGTCCCGATCAATCTCGAGCGACACGGCGAGGAGGACCGCGCGTGCGAAGGAGGCCGCGATCTTTCGGCAGATCGAAGGGGACGATTTCGACGAGAGCAACTTCTTCGATACGCAGGAGATGTTAACGCTGGAATTGGCCATGGACGAAGACGTGGTGATGTCGCCGATGTAAAAGAAGAGAATAAGTTTTCTCATCATAGTTCACGTTCACGTTTGCACGCGGAGAGAATTGTCTCTTAAAATTTATCCTGAACACCACGTAATCGCGGGACAACACGGCACCCCAGCGAGAAACGACTCGTCTCAGACGATGTCGTAACGAAGTTGAATCGACATCGTTTCGACGAACCGTCTCTCGCTGGGACTTCGAAAGACTATGAGAGTTTTTTGAAATTTTACTATACATTTCGTTAGTAAAATGTAGAGGAAAGTCTTCTATTATGAGATAGCAGGTTTTCAACATCAAAATTCAATCACAGAGCTTTGTTCGCGACGATTACACGATCTAACAATTAATTTTCCACTAAACGGATTTCACTCCAAGGGCAACAAATTCACGATCTCTTATTAGGAGCTTATCTCATAATAGGGGCCTTTCCCCTATACAGGGTGTTGCAGATAAGGTGTCCGTCCGCTCGTATGCAGGTAGAGCGAGTTAAATTGAAAAGGAAAGTTATGTACCAATTTGTAAAATTCGCAATTTTACTAGTAAAATGTATACCAAGTAAAATTACTGGTAAAATTTCAAAAAAAACTTTAGGGCAAATTTTAAGAGGAAATTCTCCCCGTGTACTTATTTTGGAAAAATAAAAAGAATGTTTTAACGACGTACTCTCGATTCTATCGATTTGTCCCTAATCGCGCCCGCAGCCGATCGCCGGCAGATTCACTGTTAGCAAGCCGCGAACATATGAGCGCGCGAGACCGAGGACGCTCCTTGCGACGAAATTGACAAGACACCGTCCGCCAGCTCCGTTCTCGAGCAGGGACGCGAACAATTGGTAAGATTAAGCAGCACCACGGCGTGATGCGGGCGAAAGGACGATAATGATCCTCGCACGGCCGACGATTGTTCTCGATATCGCAAAATCGAAGTACCAAGGTTTAAACCCCCTCCCCGGGGAAACGGGACTCTCACGTCGCGAGAATGTCTGCTGACCTGCTGCCGGAATCGGTGAATCTGTTCCTCGACGACTTCGAGACCAGCCTATGCCTGCCCATCCTCGTGGTCATGGTGCTCTGCACCGCGCAATTCGTATTTAATCACGCCTTTGGTATCGGATACACAATCTATCAGAGCGTGAGGGGGCCGGGGACGGAAGAGGAGGAGGAGGAGCGGGATAAAACTGATATGATGGGAAGGCTGAAAGGTCTAATGTCAGGCAAATATACCTTACGCGCCCCTCGAAATAGCACGTAATGCGTAATTGTTACATATTCAAGACCTGCCGCGGCAAGTCCTCGTGAATAAAGCCAACGGCACACAGTACTATTTTGCCTACTGGATTGTTTACGAGAGCCAATTAGGATATAGCTTTAAGTCACCTGATCTAAAACTCTGTACCCTTATCAGTTCTGGTAAGCAATCCAGTAGGAAAAATAGTATCGTGTGCCGTTGGCTTAATTTCAGAGTCCCGTGAGATATTTTCCGAAACGTGTAAAAAGAAACCACCCGCGCCCGAGAGATAGAGAGAGAGAGAGAGAAAGAGAGAGAGATATCGTTGAAACGGCATTCTATTCTAAACGCGCGTAACTTTAGGTGTTTGTCGCCATCGACTATTCGTAATTTTTACCTAACGCGCGGGTTCCCGTTGATTAACACGAATCTCTGTTCCCAACTCGCCAGGAATGCTGACCGCTCTCGGCATCGGAAAGGCGGCCAGGCCTCCGATTAGAAATCCGCAGTCGCCGGAGCACAATCCTCGCTCTCGAGAGGAGGAGTGGGATTATTGCGAGGAGGACATTGAATGAGACAGCAGCGCGTTTCTATGTGTTACGATACCAAGTGCATAACAAACAAATAAAGTATTCTTTGCCTTCCTTTTGTCGCGTAATCGAATCCGAACGTTCACACTCTGGGAAAAAGAAACGACAGTCAGCAACCCATTTTGGAGCCCACAATTAGCAATCGAATTATTTGGATCCGTCCGTAACTCTAATCCTTCACGAATTCTACCCCGCGTAACTAAAAATCGCAATTAGCTATTCTATCTATATTCAAGATTTTTAAGTAACACTGATCAATTCTCTCGACTAGTTCTGTCGATATTCAGTAACGCAAAGATAATCTTCACTTAAGAGGCACTAACCGAAATGTTAAGTTGCTTAATTACAAAAAAAAACAGTCAAAATTTTTCCCAGAGCAGAGTGTGTTACGAACAATCCAAATAATTCGATTATTAATTGTGGGCCCCAAAATGGGTTGCTGTCTTTTTTTTCCCCAGAGCAGCGTAGAGAATAGGCTCGAGGATACAAAATCACCTACTTTAAGATTGGTTTGTCCGCGATCATTAACACCGATAAGGGAAAGTAATCGAAGCGTGATTGGCCGATATTTCGTGCGAGATATCGCGTAACTCCGATAAGCCGGCGCGCGAGCGGGCGACGTCGTCTAAGGTCCAAGTTTTGAAACTCCGTGGGGCACGGAAGAGGGGAAGAGGGGACCGGTCGAAGACCCACGAGAATGGGTCAAGGCTGACAGCGCCGAGCTCTGTCAGCTTCCACGTACGTCGCGAATGAAGCTTAATTAAGTGACCGCCGAAAGCGAAAACTGTCCATCGGCGAGCGCCTCTGACGCCCCGTCGCGTGTGTGTTCCGGTCTTGTTCACCGAGGGCCTTCCGGAGAACCGAGTCTCGGACGCTTGACTCCGGTCGTCGTAAAATTAAGGGGCAAACAATACGATACGCTTGGCTAGCGCTATGTCTACTATTCATTCATGCGACGTCTGAATTGTCTCGACGGTGCCAATCCGAGGCGAGGCCAACAGCGCCTAGCGATCGCGGTGTTTTGCACCGCGCGGCCTTGCAATTACGCTCGGATATGCGAAAAACGTCACGTGTGAAATATCACTTCGCTGGCGGAGAGAACGATTTGCCACGCATTCGCACACGGCGTCCTCGAGAAATTGAAATTTACGCGGCCGTTATTACCGCTCGGGCGCGATTTATATAGTTAACAATGAGCTATACTCGCCGGCTTAGATTAATGTATCACGGCGCGTACGCGCGTGTGCGTGAGATCACGTAGACTGTTCGCTGCTAATTCCTGGGATTCCTTCGAGGTCAAAGCACGCGCGTTATATTTGTACAACTGAGACTTTCTAGCGGATCGAGGAAGGAGAACATTTGTCAATAGGTCTTTTGGCAATAACACGTTATTTTAACGTGCTCTAAAATATCCTTCTTTTCACGCAGCTCGAAAAGTAAAACAAGAAAGCCGCCGGTCGAACAGAAATAGTTGTGACAAATTGCTAAAAGTTAAACGGAATATAGCGCGATGAAATGGAATTGAGCGTAGAAGAAAAAGAGGAAAAAAACTGTAATTTATACACAGAAAATTAAGTGTCAAATCAAAACTTGTATGTTCACTCGAAATAATGTTCGTGTACACGGGGAGAGAATTTTCTCTTAAAATTTACCCCGAAAATCATGTAATCGTGGGAGCTTTTTCAAATTTTCTCATACATTTCACCAGTAATTATACTTGGTATACATTTGACTAGTAAAATGTATGGTACGTGTTGTCCCGCGATTACATAATTTTCGGGATAAATTTTAAAAGAAAATTCTCTGTGTATAAGTTCCTTTATATATATGCAACAATTTTGCAACAATATTAGTCTTATTTACTAATATTAATTTACTTAATTTAAAATACTACAATTTGTATAATACTACACCTTCAATAAACTACTATTTACTATTAATCTCCGATTTGACAATATGTTATTTTCTGTCCAATATTGTTTTCTTTCCATTCAGAAAAGCAAATTCTTAAATAATAAGAATACGTTTTTCTTGGTTCAACCATGTAAAATGGCCTCGTCCAAGCAAGTCTTCTTCGCGATATAATCTCATCTCAAGATTTTCACGTTGGAAGCTGAAGTTATTTTCAAACCAAGAATGAATACCTTTTTCTGTATAACTTTTTCCTATACGCTTCTTTCTCTCATGCTTGAGGTTATCTTATATGCGTATTCATAATATACACAACACTCGATAAGTGCATTGAAAAATAAAAAATATTGATACATCTTGGATCTCTGAAGGAAATACAAAGTTGTTCACAGAAGAGATAACACGCATCCCGCCACGCTTGACACGCGATACTCTAGTATCGACAGCCGAGTATTTCTCCCGAAAGACGACCGCTTAAATCAGCCGATTGAATTAGATTAAAAAAAAAATCGATACCAGTCGAATTGCCTTTTCAGTTTGTAAATCAAGCGCTTATCTTGATACACCCGATAAATCCTCCTTTCTTATTCTTCCCTTTGTGTCGTCACGCATCGATAAAATATAAGCAGTTTATCGATGAAGAAAAAAAATCTCTCCTTGACTCGAATTTCAAAAGATTATATAATATATCCGTAAATCCGATAGAAAACGGTTCTGTTTATGTTAAGCGCGTATTTTACTCGGGCTGACAATGAGTCATGCGGAAATCGAATCGCGTTTCCTTTGACGTTTTCGAAAATGTCAGAATTAACGTCGGGGAGAAACTTTTCGGAAAATCGGGAAATTTCTTTTCAATCTGACCTAGATACCTATTATGGAAATGTTCGGAATTGTTCAATAATCTCAGATCTTTATTGTGTTTTCTAGTGAAAACGGACCACTGTTTGTGGTCAAGCATTGTATATTTTTAAAAATTTGTACACACGCGAAGAGAGAGAGAGAGAGAGAGAGAGAGAGAGAGAGAGAGAGAGAGAGAGAGAGAGAGAGAGAGAGAGAGAGAAAAGTAATTGTATGCGCAACGTCACTTTAAAATAAAAAGTAATCATGTGTCACTCACTGATACGAGTCGCAACAGCAAAGTTGTACATACTCTCTAAAGTTTTTGGAGTGAAAATAGAACCATGGAGTGAAACGTTCACTCTATTGGAGCAAATCTTTACTCTATTAGAATGAATATTTACTCCAATAGAGCTAATATTTCACTCTATGGTTCTATTTTCACTCCAAAAACTTTAGAGAGTACGTCGCTAACTATACCATATATGTTAAACTGTAACAATACAAAAATGTATACGATTATTATAGACTAATTATGCAAAATCGAAACTATTGTATTAAATATACTTTATATTTTATATTTAAAAAAATGGGTATTTATTTAAACAATTATATAGAATACTGAAAGTCTTCCTTTTAAATATGAACTCACAAAATTTTATACGCATAGTTTTGTCTCTAACACTTATTCGAATGCTCGTTGGAATCATTTGAATAAATAAAATAAAAGCACAGAACAGACGATTCACTTTGCACCGAGGGGGAAACCGCTGACCAAAATCTTGTACACCAATGCCCACTAATGCCCAGTGGGCATTACTTAATCTTATTATCTTCTTTTATCTTATTGTATCTTATTTTATCTTATTTTATCTTTATAATGCCTCAGCAAGACGTAATGCCCCAAAAATGCCCTAGTAATGCCCGGTAATGCCGCAAATCTGTACACCACAATGCCCTCAGCGGTTTCCCCCTCGCTTTGCACAAGTAGCAAATAACAAAAATGTAAGACACTTACCTTACGATTTTTCTGCCGTTGCCCGATGCCGCCAAGGCCTGCTCCTCCTCTCAGATTTCCTTGATGCACTTGCACTCACAACACTCGCAAAAATCGATCGCGCGAAATTTCGGACACTCCCGTACGCGACGTAAAATACCGTGAAATGCAGTAAACGACGTTCTTTATTTCTTGCCCGTTCGAATTGCGACAGAACGACAGAGCGAATTACGCCGTGAACGCCGAAGTCGCACAAATTTCTCTCCCCGAAAATGGAACAGATTACACGAAATCGATGGATAGTTAAAAGAGCGGTGCGTAAACGAGATGTAACCGCGACAAAGTACCACGGTTTACCTTTCATATTTTAGATGAGTTGGTCTCGTAAAATGTCCATGTATGTACACGTTGATAAAGAGCCGTCGCCTCAACGCGCAATTCGTTTCTCACTACAAGTTTTAGAATCTTAATAATTAACCGAGTAACGTTACTTGTCACTGATAAAGGTGTACAAATCAATAGCGTTCTATCCCTACATTCGTCGCGATCGAGTCTTGAGCCAACGGCACACGATACTATTTTTCCTACTGGACTGCTTACGAGAGCCAATCAGGATTTAGCTTTAAGTCACCTGATCTAAAATTCTGAATCCTTATTGGCTCTCGTAAGCAATCCAGTAAGAAAAATAGTATCGTGTGCCGTTGGCTTTAGAAACCGGTAACGTAAAAATAATATCAAGTACGGAACTACTCTCGCTGCTGCCTGCCGGCTCGACGTTCGGCGAGCGAGTGATAAGTAATTTTCCATTACGTAGATGGGCCAACGATTCTCAACACAAAAACGAACGTTTTTCTGTTGTTTTTCACTCGGCGCGGCATCGTACGACGCTACGCGGGCCATTGTTTACACCAGGTCGGGCGCGCAGTCACCCGCCGAACGTCGAGCCGGCAGGCAGTGGCGCGAGTCGCTTCGTGCGTG